GACGTTTTCGCTGCATTAGCCTGTGTAGTTCTGCGTCTACCCACCGTGGTGTGGACTGTCTGGTAGGCTTTGAGTTACATAGGGGGGCATGCTTATCCATAACGCGCATAAACTTGGCATGCCATTCTCTCCACATGATATTTACATCATTGAAGTCAGAAAAGTCATGTAGGTTGGCCTCACAGATATCATGACGGAACGCGGTACTGTCTATCTTATGGATTCTTCGCATGTGCCTTGGGGCCTGCCGTGTAGTCCGGGGAACATCGACCTGGATATTGCACTCCACGGCACTGTGATCACTGATATCAAGAGGTACGACAGTAGCTACAGTTGCATGGGTAGGGTCAGCCAGAATGAGATCAATTATAGTACCATTCGGACAGCGGGGAGTTTCACGAGTGGGTTCTCTAACGATGTTCTTGAGGCCATAGGCGGCACAGAGGTCACTGAGATAGTGATGCTGGGGACCAGGCTGTTTTGGGTCCATGTTGACGTTGAAGTCACCAACCATTGTAATGGAGGCCGATTGCAGCTTGGTACGCAGGATCACCGCTTCTAGGTCTGTCCAGTAAGATACTGATTCCCCGGGGGGACGGTAGATACAACCAATCAAGTGGCAGCCAAGTGGACCTTTTATTTCCAACCAAGCAGACTCGATCTTGTCGGAATGAAGGTCAGAACGGGCTCGCAGTTGGTCACGTCTGATAGTGTCGAATGCTTTTGATAGGTCAATTCCGAGAATGTGAGTGTCCAAGTGAAAGCGCTGGGCTTTTTTTTGCAGCCAGCCATTTGTGGGCCCATAAGACATCGGACGTTGACCGTCCACTCCCTCCGGAAGCCGCTATGGATCTCAGCTAGAAACTCCTCCATCCTCCGTCTGATCCTTGCAAGGGTTATGAGCGATAGTGCTTTCCTGAGCGATGTAAGCACTATGGGCCGGAGATCGGACGGTGGTCCAAGAGGTTTATTGGGCTTTTGAAGTGGGAGGAGGATTCCACCACCTACTTCCACTGACTGCATGATGATGGCTAAATATGCAATTGATAACTGAGGAAAGGGTAGAAGCCATGGCATCTCCTCCATACTTGAGTAATTCAGCTGGGGTATCACCTTCTCCAGATGCTCGTCCGTTGTTGAGTTTCATCAGGCCTTCAGCAACTTCAGTGCAAGTAATTGGGTTTGACAGTGGCCGCTGAGGACCGTCAAATAATTGTGGAACTGCCTGCGCGCTGGAATTGTTGAGTTGGGTCACGGTGTACATGGTGTAGCTATGGTGAAAGCATAGTCACCGAGGCGACGTGACTTGGTGACGCTTTCCATTTTCCCATCTACATGTACATGACACTAGTAGTAACCGTGATCACATATCTGTACATGACTTTCAAGTCTGGGTGACACCCAGGAGGCTGAGGAGCCCATACGAGTACTGGAAGGCGTCCAAGCAGACAATCCCGAAACAACTCAAACCTTCAGACCCGTCAGCAAGACATCTTTCCGTTGGGGAGAGTATTGCAACAATCTGCGAAGCCATTTCGAGGGCATATGAGGAGCTGGCCGGAATGCGCAAAAACACCTTCTCTCAACCGTCTGGTCATGCAGGGACTGAGTATTTGTTTACAGGCTACGTTTTATTATTATTATTATTGTAAAGCTTTCCTTTTGATCTTGTCTCTTATTGTTGTGACCATTCCACAATAATTGTGTTGTATTGTCAAAAAAAACTGAGTATGTCAGGGAGCATACTAGATTGCTCCGGGCCTACAAGGATGGAACCCCTCTCGAGCGTGTAGCACTGCGGGCCATTATGGTAATGCCGAACCTCTTGTTACAGAAACCACATGCAAAGGCAGGCGCCAAGGACATAGGCCAACATCTCTCCCGTCGTCTTGCACTATGGAAGGCTGGCAAGGTTGAGGAGCTGCTGGATGAGGCACTGACCATACAGGCGCGACTTCCGCAGCATGACATGCCACGTGATATGACCACCCATAAGCTAAACCGTCGCTTTGCCGACCTGGCCTGATCAACAAGGGAGAAAACCATGCTGCCCTCTCACTCATCACCGAGCATGGAATGGGAGGGGTACTGGAACTAACTCCGCAGGTCCGTGAAGCTCTGAAAGCCAAGCACCCCAACGCCCAGCCAGTGGATCCTGACGTACTAATCCAAGGCGAGGTGCCCACAGTCCACCCCATTCTCTTTGAGACCCTCACAGGCGAAGTGGTCCGCGAAACCGCGCTTGCCATACGGGGAGCTGCGGCCTGCGGGCCCCTCTATGGGCGATGCCTACGTCTGGAGGCGCATGCTAGTGTCTTTCAAGGCAGCATCAACGGAGCTTTGCCATGCGGTAGCAGAAGTCTCACGGCATCTGGCTACAGCACCTGTTGACCCGGTGGGACTCAACCCTCTCCTCAACAACCGGCTAATTCCATTGGACAAGGATCCTGGGGTCCGGCCTGTGGGGATCGGTGAGGTCTTGCGGCGGATTATTGGCAAGTCCGTCATGACTGTCCTCGGGAAAGACATCACGCAAGCTGCCGGTGTCTCGCAGGTTTGTGCAGGCCATCCTGCCGGGTGCGAGGCGGCAATCCATGCCCTGCGCCAAGTCTTTGCCTCCATGGGCACTGGTGCTGTGCTGCTCGTGGATGCCGACAATACCTTCAACCGCCTTAACCGTGCTGTGGCTCTCCACAACATTCAGTTCATGTGGCTCTCCACAACATTCAGTTCATCTGCCCTCCACTTGCCACCATTCTCGGTAACATCTACCCGTCACCAGCTAGACTATTCGTCACAGGTGGAATGGAGCTCTCGTCAGAGGAAGGTACGACTCAAGGCTGTCCATTGTTCATGGCAATGTATGCGCTAAGTGTGGTTCCATTAATCAGCGCGTGCGATGAGGTATCCGATGATGCCCTAGCAAAGGCCATACAGGTCTGGTTTGCCGACGATGCTGCTGCAGGTGGTGCGCTATTGGTGCGCCGCCGCTTCTGGGATAAGCTTGTGTCCAGGGGACCTGCCTATGGCTACTTCCCGAAGACATCGAAGACATTCCTTGTTGTGAAGTCTGAGTGTCGGGCTGAAGCAGAGCGAGTCTTTGCGGGTCTGGCATCAAGATAGCTGGTGAGGGTGACAACTTGGCTCACAAGTCAAGACAAAGGCATTTGGGCGCTGCTATCGGCTCAGAGGAGTTTGTCTCGGCCTATCTGGAGGCAAAAGTTCAAGCATGGACCAATCAGATTGAGCGACTTGCCAGCGTAGCAGCTACACATCCTCACGCTGCATTTGCTGCTTTCGTCTTCGGTTTGCGTCACCGGTGGACATTCCACCAACGCACTATGCCCACTGTTGATGATCACATGCAGCCTCTACAGGATGCTGTTCCGTATTCTCAGCCGTCTACTGCCAGCTCTGACCAAGCATGAAGTGAGCGATCTGGAGATGGAGATGGTGGCTCTGCCTGCTCGACATGGAGGCTTGTCTTTCGACAACCCTGTTGAGGACTCTCCACGCAAGCACGCTGCGTCTTTGGAGTGCACCACCCACCTCGCAGCTCAGATCACCACCGGCGGATCGGAGTTGCTGGAGAGCATTTGGCTGAACCAGGCAACTAAGTCGGCAGTGCGAATTCGCGACCACGCAGTACTGGTCGCAACAGCGACTGCCATCCAAGACCGCCTGCCGCAGCCACAACGGCGAGCAATGTCCTTGGCACGCGAGAAGGGCGGGTCCAGTACCCTGACCACTGTCCCTATGGCTGAGCACGGTTTCAGCTTTGATGTGAAGGGTGATTTTCACGATCATATTCGGCTCCGGTACTGTTGGCCACTGCCTGGACAACCTACCAGCATCCTGTCCCTGTAGCTCAAGGTTCTCAGTTGACCATGCCCAAATAGGGCTTGAAAGTGCTACGTCACAGCATAGCAACAATTTCAAAAATTCAAAAACTGGATCCACTTGGATCCAGTTTTTGTATGGATCCAAGCACATTTCAAGCAGTCTTACCCACAGCATGATGATGTAGCCAGTGAAACTGACTGATTTGGCTACTGGGGGCGGGGTTACAACTGGTGGCGAAATAAAAGTCACACCTGCATGCGACATGAGTGGGTTGCTATGCACCCACATACTTAGGCAATGGCAAAGTCACACCTTAGTGGATCCAAAAATAGAAATCTGATGTCAACTTACTACTCCCTGGCCGTTTTGACGTCATCACTTTCAAGCCCTATTTGCAAGCTGTCGGGATTCATCAACATGCGATACAATGATCCCACCGACTTCCTCGCGTCGTGCATGAAGGAGCGCCATCATGATGTGGAGGTGGAGCCACCATTGCACCTCCTAACTGGTGAAACCTTTCACCACCGGACAGCCAACACTGATCCTGATGCCCGTGCCGACCAGAGGGTGAAGGGATTCTGGACCGATAGCCGCAACGCATTTTTTGATACAAGGGTGTTTTATCCCCACGCGTCAAGCTATCGGTCCAAGTCAGTCTCTCCCCTCCCTCTACCGAAGGAGAGAAGGAGAGAAGAAGCGTGCTTACGGTGAACGTGTCAATGAGGTCGAGCATGGCTCCTTCACACCGTTAGTCTTCTCCTCCTGTGGTGGGATGGGCTCTGAAGCAGCCGTAGTACTAGTAGTAGTCAAGACAAGAGGCTGGCGCATGGCCACCAAACGAAATGCTGCATAGCCGGGTTGTACATGACTGTAGCTAGCTTGGCTGCGGTGCTGCTTGGCATTTTCTCTTGCCAGATCTGCCACCCGTTGCGTCCGTGGATCACGCTCTGTTCGCCGTCGACGTCGTCACTTCGACCTCGCGCCTGTCGACCTTGTCCAGGCTGAGGCGCGTCTGGGGAGTCATACACCGGTTTACAACTCCCTGCTTCGCACGCTCCGGCTGAATCAATGACTTTCATTCCATCATTCCTAGGCTAGGGCCTACACTACAGGGGCTATTGAGTATTGTAACTAGGCTGTCTTGCGTCTTGTAC